AATTCTATACAACTACTGGCATTTCTTCTCAGTGTCTCCATTCTTTTTTTATCTACTTGAAATTTTTATTTAACCCTACAAATAAAGTGATAAAAAACAATAAAAGTAATTCAGTTTGAATATTAATATTAGAATTTCTTGCCCATGGTGATCTGTAGCCTTACTAAGCATTCAAAATGGTGATTTGCAGGGTGCAGAATATTTTTTAAACTTTTCTAAGGAGAAGTTTTATGGGATATCAATCCTCTAATATAGTTCACGGATGGCTGAATTTATGAAATGTTTTTATAAAGACTGCTTGACATACTGTCTCAAATATTAGGTAGTTAGAATGATACTGCTCATTTCCTGATGAATTTGCTAGACTTTAAATATAATTAATCTTTGCATTGTCTTTTAAAAAATTAAATTTTTTATCACATAAAAATACATATGTATATATATATGCATATATATATTACTCTTTAAATATTTTTGTTCCTCTATTTAGGTGTTTGTTTTTTAAAATTCATGTTGTGTTCTTTAATCCAGAGCGAGCGGCCTATAATTTAGAAATGTTTCTGTCAGTAACTGGTACATTAAATAGTTCAAAGGGTTGACAATACTCTTAAAATGATCTATCATACTTCAAATTCTGGAAAATTAATACTGGATAATTTTAGGTAGAGAGGCAGAAAGACTTCCTTTGAGGAGATGAAATAAGCATCTTTTAAATTTCACTATTTGTTTTTTGGCTATTATTTGACAGTCTTCCTAATTCAGCTGCAGAGAAAGCTTCTAACTCATAATGTTTGTAAAGAATTTATTTGAATTTGATCAAATTAATAGAATAGAATGCACACTGTAATTTCAATTTGGTAAACAGAACTATCTCTATAAAAACACATATAACCAGTACGTATTATGTCTCAGTTATAGTGCAATTTCAAATCTCACTTCTCTGACCTCCCTTCACTTGAATAGCAGGAGATCAAGAAATCAGGCCTTTCCTGGGATCCTCCTCCCCAGTTATTCCTTTTAGGAGTGGTTTTGTGGCAGGGAGGGGAGTGGAGACCAGGGAACCTCCCACATAACAAGAGATGCTCCAGTGACCACCATTCTCTCTGTTCTTCTTTGCCACTGCCCACTGTGTCACTCAGAGTGCTGTCAGCTCTTTGTGAGCCATGCCTGCCTGCCTGCATTACATGGCTGCACCCTGAACCACGCACAGGCTACTTGGCAGTCTGCTCTTTGCCTCCTCCGGGCTCAGCTCTTTTCTCTTTCTGGTTTGCAAAGAAGCTTTCTTATTTTGTTTCTTAGAGCTTACTCTTGATGAAGGTTCCCATAGCAGAGTTTTGGGGGACTCTGAGTGACACTTTTCTTATTATCTTTCAATACAGGGAAGGGAGAGAGAAGGGAATGAGAGGCTGGGAGCTGGAATCTGGGGCTTGATGAGGGGGATGGACGTATGCCCTCACATTGTTTCTGGATCCACGATCCCATCTTCCTCCAGGCTCTGCTGCTCAGTCTGCTTCCTTTTCCAGTATTCTCACTCATGGTGATTTGCTTTCAGGGCCTTCGCTATTTCCACTAACAGTGCAGGATGAATAAGGACTCTTAGTCCATTGGATAGCTCTATATACACATAAAATATATATACCTATCATAGGGATCCTGGGCCCCATGGCAATCACTGAATCTGTTTTAGTGTCCTTGACCATTCTATGACTTTGGGAAGCTCCTGATTATTCTGTGACAGTTAGAAGGCTGTCTACCAAGAGTATATAGAGGAGTTTTAAGAATTGATGTTATCCAACGCATCAACCTAAGATGTCCCATCTCTAACCTGGCCCTGAATAATACTCATTTGATCTAATTAAAAAAATGATGGTGGCAGGGGGAGAATATACCAAAAACATTGATAATGGTTATATAAGGGGATAAGATCATGGATGACTTTTACTATAATTTTTACAATTTTTTTAACTTTTTAAATTTAAAAAATGGATATTTGTTAATTTTATATTGACAAAAATAAGCCATGAAAGAAACAACAATAATAAAAAACCTTTGAGAATCCATTATGTTCTCAGAACTTTGCCCAGTATTTTCTGGTGGTTACTGCTGTTAGAAATGTAAAATAATTCTTTCTGTTTAGAATCTTTCATTATGACAAAGGCAACCTTAAGTAGATCTTTCTACTTCAAACATAATTTAGTATATTTACATTGAGTCTCAAGAAAGCAAACTTCTGTTCTTTTTATTAGACTTTTACAGTGTAAGTTTTTTTTGACTTATTATCATCCTCTCTGCATATCTGTCTCTTTAGAATGTCACACAAAATGAATTCTCTAACAGTAATCTCCTAGGTGTCAATACCTAGTTACGGAGTGGAACTTAGCCCCTTTCCTACACATGACGTTGTTTCTAGAGGCCTCTTATCAAAGCAAATTCTCTTATTTTCTCATTAAAAGTTGTTACTTTCAGGGAAACAACAGCTAGTCCCACACATATGACTAATAAAAGCCAGACATCTGATTAAAAGTGAATGACAGAAATGTGAAATTCCCTAATTATACTCCCCAACCCTCCTCCCTGCTGCCAATGCCAAGTAACTCAGTATTATCGAGTAAGTGGTCCAGGGACAAATGAAAAATGCTTTTTTAGAGAGACTTGCTTTGTGACTAGCATGGAATACTGGGAGTTCAAAAATAAAAAAAATGTTTCTCCTCAATGATGATTTCTTAGATACCATAAAGCATAAGTTAAAATAATGTTTTTTAAGTTTATTTTTACTATGTCTATTTTCAAAAACATAGAAGTATATCCTATTCATATTTTTGGTCCAAATATTTATAGACTTGATTTCCAAAGTCATATACCTGACAGAATCAAAATTCATAGAAACATATATTGAGTGTTTATTATAGATTCTCTTGCATGGAATTTTCCCAAAAAGCCTATGAGACAGATGACTTTTATACCCTTATTTTATTGAAGATAGACAGTGAGCTACAGACCCAAAGATACCCGGCTAGCCAGGGACGGAATTGAGAGTCCAACCGCATTGTCTGAATCCACGGTCCATGTTCTTTCAGCCACTAGACCCAGCTACTGGGCAGATTGTAGCTTTTTAACAACTAAATTTTAAACTCCCAGTATAAAACAGTTTTGCCACGGCTATTCCCTACCCTTATCAACCTATCTACCTACCTTATTAATAAGTATCTACCTTAAAAAAGCCCGAGGTACATTGGATTATGTACTGAGTCATTTTGCCCCCATATCTGTGTTGAGGCCGCCTTGCAAACTGCCCTATAACCAAGTTGAGTGCATCCAAAACAGGGCAAACCTGGTGGTGTGATGAAGCAGGTGGAGGGAGGCTCTGGAGTTTATTTTCACTGGGCCTCTCTCAGTTAACACATCACGTGGACCCTCAGAGCCTGCACGTGGGCTATAGGGTCACTACTGGCATTCAGGCTAGTGAGATACCTTCACAACAGAAAGGGGGGGATGGACTGATCAGCCTGATGCTGGAGGGGAGACAGGATAGAGACTAATATAGCTAACAGGTCATGAGAGCTGAGTGGTAGCAATGGGAGCAAGGGGGAGCTGGCCAGTGCTCACCTGAACCCAAAGAACTGACTATGGTTTCAAAACTCCAGATTTAACACAGGGGGCAGGATCAGATACAGACATCAGGCCAGAGGCCAGCCTGTCTGCCAGCACACTTCTGAAAACCGGACTGACACCAGGGAGTTCCTTTTCTTCAGAAAGACGTATAGCTTCCTTTGCACATGCCCAAATTCCATGTTATGAAGAGAGGCAGGGGAAGGTACGAAGATACGTGACAGAATTGTTATGCAAGGAAGATGAACACAACCCAAAGGGATCTTGTAACTTCTTAAATCAGACTATACTTTTAATTGCAGAAGACTAAATGTCAGCTTTTACCCTCAAGAAACAGTTGATAGAGGCTGGAATAATGGCCAGATTAGTGTATGGTCAAAGTCCAACAAGTTAATTTCTTCGCACATTCAAGATGAAGTGTGGATTATACCCTGTACACTGGCATTTACTGAGAATCCTTTTTTTCCAGGCCTGGTACATGCTTTATCTCATTTAATTCTCATGCTAGCCCTGTAAAGAAGGAGCCATTAGCATTTCCATCTTAGAGAAACTGAAAAAGAGGCTTAGAGAGGCTAAGTAATTTGCCCAAGGTCACATTGTTAGCAACACAGCTGGAAGAGAATAGCTGATTACTTAATTAAATGTTTTAATTTCAAAATAGTTAAAATATGTTTTAGATGAATTGCATTTTTGAAATTTGAAGATGCTCAAGAGGAGACTTCTGAATTAGAAAGAGTCTGCTTATGAAGGACTATCTGCTTTCTAATTTGCATTTGAGATTTTGGTCTTCAGGCAAATTTTAAAGAAAGCTTAAGCCTGAAAGGAGTAGTCCAGAATTCTGTCAATTTTGGCAGCAAGATGGAAATATGTGTTCACTAGAAAGAAACTTTCAGTACAATTGTAAATGGAAGGCCTTTAAACCCTCCTATCCTCTAAGCATCCTCAAAGGCAGAAGTCTTCAAGGTGTGAACTTTGAGTTAATCAAGTCTTTAATTCTTGTCCAACGACATAAAAGCTGTGTAAGTTGGTGACCACTTTGAGCTCATTTCCATAAAGTTAACATGGCAACATGTCAAATAAGGGTTAAGTGAGATAATATTATGACACACTGAAGTTGGTGCCTACTCATAGCTGGTGCTCAAAATCGTCAGTTTGCATCTCCTTACCTCCTCCTCTTCTCTCTCTCTCTCCTTTTTAGTGAATCTAATACTATCCAGTTCTCTATGCTTTACTATATAGTCAAACAATCACTTTATTTCCTGGGTCTCATTTTGTTTTTATATTTAGAAATGCAAATGTGCACTTGGATAATTTAATACCTGGGGTTATAGGGACAAAATAAATAATCTCCTGGGGTGTATTTATAAAGTTTAGAAAATGCATTCGCTTACCAGCTCACTGAATTCATTATTGCCTAGGTCAAGTCTTTCCAACTGGGCCAGTTTGTGCATTGACCTATAACAGATGGAGAAAAATACTATTGTGAGGCAGTCCATCACACATTGCTCCAAAATACATTCCATTCACCCCCTGTCAGATTTACCTGGCTTTACAGTGCACAGAAATGGGAGTATTTTACAGAGAGGAGTAGACAGCAAATATATAATACATGCAAACTGCCACCTGCTTACCATATTTCCAAAAGCCAATTTATGGTGGAAATACAGAGCTGGCTGCTTAACACAAATCCAGAAACTTGTTAAATATCTATACCAGTAGAAGGTATAGGGTGGGTCCACAACATCTACATTTTTAAGAATCACAGATTTGGGAACCAATGGATGAAGCCAATTCTGAGCAAAGCATTCTAAAACCCCACAATATGGCCATCATTTCATCATCAATCTTGTCATTTTCTATTTCCCTACATGAACTTCTGTTATAGACAGACTGTTGTATTCATTGTCTCCTAAAGATACTGGCTGGGATACAGCTCTGTAAAACAGTAAAACCTTGAGCAAGAGTTGGTGCCAAAGGTAGAGGTATGTTGGCCTGTGCCACACATAATCAGCACTTTTTAAGCCATTCTCAAATACAGCGTACCATGTAAGAAAAGATAGTGTTTTTCTGAGTTCCAAGTTTTTTATCCTCCCACTAACCACAATGCTAAACTTAAGTCCTGACTATACAGAAATTCTGGAGGAATCATTGACTCAAATCTTAGAAATTTTAGTTCCTTTATCTTTAAAATGGCTAGAGTAATTATCTCATAATGTTTTTTTGAACATTAAAATACTATTATAATCCAGGCACCGTCAGGCACTCAGGAATGCAAAAATGTGTATACCCTTTGTTTATTCAGAAACTGTTATTGAAAGATTATGCACCAGACAATCTTTTGGAGTCTCAAGGACAGCAGTGAACAAAAGGGACAAAAACTCTTACCCAAAGGGACTTCACATTGCACTGGTGGGAGAATTACAATAAATTACAATATAATTAAGTATAAATACTAAAATAATTAAATATAATAAAATAAAATAGAAGGTTATAAGTGCTATGGAGAAAACTTCAGCAGAAGTTGCTCAAGAGGAGACTTCTGAATTAGAAAGAGTCTTTTATTTTCTTGGTAAGGGCTTACCTGGATCAGCCCTTACCAAGAAAATAAAAATTTGAGCCAACACTTAAAAGAAATGAAAGAACATGCTAGTGCATGGACTTTAAAGCAGGAACATGTTGCTTGCTTGAAGACATCCTAGGAGACTGTGTGGCTAAAGCAGAGTGAGGGATGGGGGAGTAAAGAGATGATAATGAGGAGTTAGATAATATGAGGGCTTATAGCCCAATGTTAAGATGTAGGCTTTGATTCTGACTAAGATGGAGGATCACTTAAAGGTTTTGATCAAGGGTGTGACTGAAGTGACTTATTTTAAAAAGATATCTGTGATTGCAGGCTTGTAAATAGACTGAGAAGAAGAAAAGTGGAAGGCAGGAGATCAAATAGAAGGCTAATGGAAGAAGCCAAATGAGAGGTAATGGTGGTTTGGAGCAGGGTGGTGTTAGTGAAGGCTTCTGAACATATTTAAGATTAGAGTCAAATGTTTTGTTGCTGAAATGTCCGTGAGGAGTAAGAGAAAGTAGAGTCAAATATAACTAAAAGTATGTTTTGGTCTGAGCAACTACAAGGATGAAGTTGTAATTGATGGATAAGGGAGACAGGGTGGAACAGGGTTTTGGGTAGACCAGAGATTTGGTTTTAAATGCTCTCCATCCTACCACCACGCCTCCCCACATACAAAAAAGGTAAATATTAGAGGTGATGGATATGTTAAGTAACCAGATGGGAGGACTCCTTTCACAATATATGCATACATCAAATAATCACCATATATACTTTGAATACCTTACATTTTATTTGTCCATTATACCGCAATAAAATTGAAGAAAAAAAAAGATGTTGAATTTGAAATTTCTATTGTAAAGTCAACTAAAGTTGTCAAGCAGGGAGTTAGAGTTTAGGGAAGAAGTCCAGGCAAGAGAGATTATTTGAGCATGGTCAGGAAAGAGACAGCATCAGGTCTTGGGAGTCTGAGATCACTAAGGGACTGAGTGTAAATGACATGAGAATAGGTCTAAGATGACATGAGGATGAGCCAACAAAGAAGACTGAGAAGTAACAAGGGTCAATCAGAGAGAAACCAGAAGAGTGTGAAGACATGGGAATCAAGTAAAGAAAGTGTTTCAAGGTGAAGCAAGTGACAGATTGTGACAAAAACTGCTGATAGATCTGAGAACTGAGCACTTGATTTAACAACATGAAGATCGATAGTCATTCTGGGAAGATCAGTTTTCTATTTTAAGCCTTTGCTAATGACATAAATATATTGATTTCCTATTATCTCTCGGGTATTAGGGTTATCAAGATGAAAGGCATTATTCATATTAACAAGTAGCTCATAATCTTGAGAGATAGTACTAAGACAATGGATAGTTTTTTACCGTGTGGAGTAAGTGTTAGAAAATATATGTGTAGGTTTCTAAAGAGCACAGGGAGAGATACTTTCTCAGTGTTGGGAGTAAAAGGCTCCACTGATGCTTAATTTTGGAGCATTGATCAGGCTATAGAATCAAAGGAGATGGCCTTTTTTGAAGGAAATGTCAAAGGGGTGGGTTGAAAGGGATTATGGCCCATTTCAAGGAACTGCGGGTTAATAAAAACAGTAAGAAAAATAGTAAGAAATAAGAAATAATATGTAGGCAATGGCCATATGATAAAGTCATCCATGTCAAGCCAGGGAGTCTGAGTTTTAACTTGAAGGCAATGGAAGCCTTTAGGATGTAGATTGGAAAGATGTATCAGATTTGTACTTTAGAAAGCTCACTCTGGCAGCTTGGAATGATGTGACAAATGGGGAGAGGTTGTGCCAGCAAAGGGGCCAAATAAGACTGTCCTGAAATGCACATAGTATATAACTGGGGTCAGAAATAAGATAAAGGCAGTATGGATGGCCCTGTGGGCAATGAGAGATGCTCTGGTGAAGACATAGCTTGATAATGATGATGACTGACTGGGTGTGGGATGTAAAGGAAATGAAGGAATTTAAAATAGTTTCTGGATTTAGTACCAGTGTGGGAATATTGGGATAGAATTAAAGTGTGTGTGTGTGTGTGTGTGTCTGAGAGAGAGAGAGAGAGAGAAAGGTGGGGGGGAAGAGAGACTAGAGCTCAGGTAAAAGTCTTGACTGGAAATAAAAATTAAAAAATAAATAAGCGATATTTTTTGTCTATTCCACCTGAAAATTATCCCCCTTTTTTAGCTCACATACCATTTTTTTCTTTTTCATGATTTACTTGATATTTACCACTTGCTTCCTTGAACTGTCAGTTTTTTTCATATGTATATGCCTCCTTTTTCCACTCAGATCTTAAAATATGTTTCAAGATGACCAGAAGGGCCTCTGTGGGACCACCAGTCCAAAGATGGTTTTGAAACTGTGGCCAGCATGGTAAGAACATCTGCCTCACCTCTTGCCAAATCTATACCACTGAATAGGTGCTTCTAGGAAAGGGGATGGTAGTGGCTGGGCCCCATGAAAAGAGAATTAGATTTTCTTCTGAGCCTGGGAATATTGATGAATGGCAAGTTCTTGCAAATCTTGTTCCTAGACTACACAGCCCAACAAGAAAATGATGAGCACTAAAGCCTTGAGAGCCAAGGTGAAGGACCAAGTGGCCAGGTGTGGCAAGCGAATGAGAAATAATCATAGGAGTAGCAGAACCACCTGCATTTGCCCTAACCATGTAGCCTTAGGCAACAAATATTCTAGTGAGAACCACCATGAGCTGAAGATCAGAGGCCTTTCCACAATTTTCTGGATTTATGAATTCTGTAGTTCTCACTGATTCCCAAGGAAAGTATCACATAAGCCTGAGAATAAATTTTTTTCCCAGACTTAGTAGTGGAGAACGAAGACAAAATTAATTTTATTAAATGAAGAAATGGGGATGTCTTATATCTGAGTGTCCTAAAACAAATTTTATTAATTCTAGGATGTATATTTTCTCTATGCTAAATATTAGTGACTTCTTAAATCATCCCTTGTGTGTTAGGATTTCTAGGCCCCTAAACACTAGGATTATCTTTATCAATGTTTCTCATCCAAAACAGGGCCAAGTCCAAATCTGGCACCTCTGTTTTTGTAAGTAAAGCTTTATTGGAACACAGCCATGCCCATTTGTTAACATATTATCTATGGCTGTTTTCCACCGCAACAGTGGAATTGAGTAGTTGAGATATAGATCATATGGACCACAGAACCCAAAACATTTCCTATTTCTGAGGGCCAGGTGGCACTCAGAATTGAACACTATTCTCTAGATGAGGGCTGACTAAGACATTGTATAAAAAAACTATTATTTCTTATGTGTATCAGTGTAGTTTAAGTTTGGTTTCTTTTGTGAAGTGATAGTCTCTATCTCACTGCTAAGCATTTTTCTCTTCCCATGCTGGTCTTAAGCTACTACTTCTGAAACCCTTGGTTCATAAATTCATACCTAGAAACCATATTTTAAATGTATAACCTGGCTTCCTACCATTCCTTTGCCATTCTTCTGAATGGGCAACATTTTTCCTTTTGCTTGTTCTGGTACAACAAAAAAAACGTTTCCCCATGAGGTTTTCTGAACTTTTCCTGAAGCTTATTTAAGTTCTGTTATGTAAAATAGCATTTCTTTTATCTTAATTTTATCTCGTTTTATTTTTCTGATTTTCATTTCCATCGATGTTTATTACTGTTACCAAAGTTTCCTTCCATCATTACGTTCTTCTGTTTTTGAGTTTCTTACATTTAAATCTTTAAAATTATTATATTCTTACTTCTGCTTTTTGAAGGTATCATTCAATATTAGTTCTTACATTTTTACACCTTTAAAATTGACTGCCTCTACCCACAAGATTTTAGACAGTCCGTAACGCGGCCTACTGCTTTTCCTGTTCATGTGCTAGTTGCTAAACT